TGGGTTGCCATGGGCTACCGTATGTAGCCAGCAGCCAGCGTGAGCGGCCAGCAGCCGCAGTGAGCGGCCATACAGAAGCCGGCGATTGATCTGCCTCGCCCAGGAATAGCGCAATGATGGTGCCAACTTGGGCCAGTGAAGCAACGTCCTCCACAACTAGACTGAAGAACAAAACAACAGCAACTTGTTTGTCCCCCTTCCCCCAATTCCCCAGCACTGTTCCCATCCCCTCAATTCCCCAATAAAAATCTTAAAAAAAAATTATATTCAAAATAATATTAAAATATCATCTGCTTATTCTCTGTCATTCTCTCACAAGGGTACAGTGAAATTTTCCAGAAGTGACATCATGTATGATATTGAATGCAGAAGCAGGTATCTGAAACTACCTGTTTTCTATTAAGTCAGACATTAGATTTTTTTTTTTACGTACTCTCCTAAAAATTTGTTTTAGAATAGTTATTTTCCTTAAAAATCTATGTAATTTATATTAAATGCAATGAAGTTGTTATTTTTAATGAGCTAATAATCTTTTAAAAACTGGTTAGTTTTAATTTTTAATATGGGAAAATATCAATAACCCACATTAAACAAAACGTCTCTGGCATCCTTAGTAACTTTATAGTATGTAAAGTAGTCCTATGACCAAAAAGTTTGAGAACTACTGATTTAAAGGGAAAAAATCTTGTGGATTCCTGAGTGCCAACTTAAATAATTCTTATTATAATGCCCTTAAATATATACAGACTAGGTATAAATTCCTTATTACTTATAACATTTATATAACTGCAAAACAAAAAATTACACATTAATAGAAACAAATCTATACAACCAACAGCATCCTATTTAATATTAATTTAACTGGATAGGTGATGTTTTGCTAAAACTAAATGGTTCGTTTCAATATGCAGGTAATACTGTTGCTACAGTTTACTTTCTTGATTTCAGAATACCTATACTACTGCACACCTTCCCTATCATAACTACAACACTCTTATTTTAATCTTTGGTTTGTCTGCTTTCAACCTAGATTGAAAACTCCATTTCTGCTTTATTCATAGCTGTATTTTAGTGCTTAACAAAGTAACTGCTACACTTAGTAGGCACGCAAAATAGATTTATTATTTATTTGCTCAATGAATTAATTAAAAACGAGAAACCTTTTCCACAAAGGACCAATGGGTGTGGTTCCTCTTTGGCCTTGGCTTAAAGATGGTCTTAACCTTCCTAACCTTCATTTTATCACCCTCACAAGTCCTTCACCCCTCGAAGAATCATTAAGGTTTAACAAAGACCCTACATTTCCTCACATTTGAACATTGTGGATAGTTTGGATCACTCTTTTTTAGAAATCTAACTGTTCCGGCACCAGTTTTAATCATGACATTTGCCACTGTTGAGACTAATATACCCCACAATGACTGTACTCATGTGTAACACAACAGCAATGATGGAATTTCCTCAGCAATCAGATCCAGGGATCTACTCTAATAATTAAAAATGTTCTACTTTATCTATAGTAAATGAGAAGTTGGAGGTATAAAACTTTACAACAGAAAACATTTTAGAAGCCACACGCACAATCTCCTACCCAATGCTGAAATTCTTTCATTAAGAGAATTTTGCTGTGGTGACATAAGCTCACTGTTTTGTTGTTATATACCCTTTCTACTATTGAATGGCCCTATTAGAAAGTTCTTTCTTATATCAAGCTTAAAACAGGCTCTCTATTAAGTTATGTATTCTCATTTTAACCTCTAGACTAGGAATTAGCAAACATTTTTAAAGAAGTCCAGGTAGTAATATTCTAGGCTTCATTGGTCATATATGGTCTCTGTAGCATGTATTTCTTGTTTTGTTTTTACAATCTTTTAAAAATGCAAAAATCAATCTTAGCTCATGCAAAATCAGGCCTTGGCCTGCAGCCTGTAGTTTGCACATCCTGGTATAGACCATTAAAATCCTCATCCATGATACTGGTATTTTCTATTTACTGGGCTGTATTCCCAGAAGAGGAGGTAGCTTTCATTTATATATCCCTAGCATCACACACACAATAGGCACTTAGATATTTGTTAAACCAATGAATGAATAAAAATAAGTTGCTTCCTCTTTAGCAATGGCAGCCCTATAAATACATGATCATAGCAGTCTTCTCTTCCATCTACTATCAGTCATCTCCTCCCACAAAGAAACACTAATGTTGTCAACATCTTTCTTAAAATGTGAAACTAAAATTGACTTTGATGATCTGCATCATAGAATACATTGGCACTAATATTTTGAGTTGGATAGCATTAGCTTGTTTGAAAAGAACTTGAATTAACTCCTATTCATGCTCCTCTAAAAAACTCTTGACAACTTCATGGATGAATCACATTCCTCTGAAAAAAGGCTAATTGTAAAAATGTAGTTGTTGTATTTTTTTCAATATTAAAAAAAAATCTGAAGAAAGAACAAAATAATATTTGTCTGCATTATGATTTAGGCATTAAAAAAATTAAATGACCATATTGGCTTAGTATTCTTACATATCTTCAATGATCCAAGTAGTAACAGTACAATCCTATCTCCTACTTTGATTACTTGAAAGGTACTTAGAGTTTACCTTTTGTACAGAGCTAATAAATGAGTTCCATATTAAGCAGAGAAAAGCAGTAAAGATCTACCTCAGACAAATCATTTAACCTCCTTATCTCAATTTTTGGGTCTGAAAACTGAGAATAACATATGCCTTAACTAATTCTAAGAATCTAATGAGGTAAGCATTAACATTTGTTTTTGTTTGTATTTTAAGGATCATGGAGTCCCCATTGCTGAGTAGTAAAAGGATAATATATGGTTTACCCCAAGAATTCCACAAATTTTGGAATGAGGAGGCACACACACTAGAGAGGAAGTTACCAGCTTTCTGCCTTCTGTGAGCAATAGAATATGATAAAATGAGGGGCAACTGCACATTTAACATAACTACACCAGCTGGCCTGAGTGGGTAACTACAAATAAGCTGATACCTTTGAGTATAGCCCTACAGAGCTCCTCAACTCAAGAAAGGATTTAGATGCAGGACTTGGGAGTCTCCCAAAAGTAGTTACAAATGTGAGGTATTACTACTGGTTTTAAAAAAAAAAAAGAGGTATTACCTAGCAATGGAGAACAGAAGAGATCTCTGTTGGGTTCCTTTACTTGATTTTCTGATTGGGTCAATATACCTTCCTCCACAGAGGGGAATTCTGTCACTTCCATCCGTTCCTCTCTCATATTAATCCTGGTCTGGGTTGTGTCCATGGTATGGGAAGAATCGATTTCTTGAGGAAGAAAATGCCAAGATTCTGGTCTCTGTAACAATAAAGTTAAAGGAAAATATGCTAAGTTATTAACTGAATTAACATACATTAACATTTAGATCAAAATGTCCACTCAGACAGCATATAGCTTCTTCCTATTTTATGACATTCTCCTCAAAGTTTAGAAAAAGTAAAGCTGTTCTGTTTTTCACAATATTGACTATATTTTAGGCCTCCTTCCCATTACTACCCATCTCTTACTGAGTTGAATCACTGGCACTTGTTCCAGCAATTCTTTAAAGTTAGTTCTCATCATTAATAAATTTGGTTCTATATGATGAAATCTTACAATTTAATTATAAAAGTGAAAAAAATTTTCCAAACCTAAAGCTACCATATTCTCTACATGTGACTGCTATACTGAATTCTTATTAGCTATACTAGTTTCTAGTGGACTAGTTGCTCCTCTCAATATATAACATTGTCATGTCATCCATGAATAGTGATACATTTGTCTCTTTCAAATGTTTACTTAGATTAGTGGCATGATTCACAGCAATGCTTCTAAAAATATCTATGGGAAGGATCAGTTTTTCCCACTTCTAATTCATCACAGAAATGCATTTTATTACAATACTAACAAAAATTAATAAATAAAAATAAACTAATAAAAACCAAGTACAATTAACTAGAAAAATGAAATTTGATATACGAAGGGTGCAAAAAAATACACATTTTAAGAAAAGAAAACTGTATTAAAATTGTAATACTCAATATATACCAAAAACAAAAGATGAATACAAGTCACGTTTGACTTCTGCAATTACAAGAGGTGCTCAAAGTGGTTACATCAGCGTCCAGACACTTCTGATTACGGCGAACAACTACTTGAGCAATGCTGACCAAAGTGTCCACTTGTATGCATTTTTTTTGGCATCTCTGGTATAAGCCCAAATACAAAATATAAGCCCAAATGTCTCATTTCTAGTTCTAAAAAACATAAAATCACTCAGTCAAAATGCTATAAAAGTATCTAACCACTTCTTCTCAATTCTCATACTTATCTCTTAAGAGACCAGTAACAAGAAATTCACGGACTAGCACCAATCCAGACCATATTAAGTAGCAATATTGAATTAAAGTTGAATTAAATACTAATGATAACCAGTTTTATAAGGCATCTTCCTTCTAAATTTGGTATTGGTTAATAATTAAGAATATTCTTTCTATCATGCTATGAAAGTATTCTTTCATTTTCACATTGAATTAATTTGATTAAGAATGAGCACTAAATTTGATCAAACTACATTATTGCATCTTTTTTCCCAATTAAATCTCATAAAGTATAGCGATCAATTTCTTTTTTTTAAAGATTTTTATTGTGGAATTGGGGGGATGGGAACAGTGTTGAGGAATTGGGGGAAGAGGAACAGACAAGTTGCTGTCGTTTTGTTCTTCAGTCTAG